AGCAGGAGCTGTGCAGACCCTGGCTGGAGTCCCGTGCCCTCCCAGAGACAAGGGAGTTTAATCCCACCTTTCCCCCATTTGCCTGAGGCGTTGCCCTAACCGGTGTCTGGCTTTGGGGACAAGCCGGGCAAGGGCTGCTTCCTCTCTTTCTGGCAGCCACCAACTGAAGAGAAAAATGTTAGCTCCCTGATTTAAGAACATAAGACAGAAAGGGATGGATGTCCTGCATCATCAAATCCAGTCCATCACTGTAGCAGGCAACCACATTACTTAACTACTTTCAGAAATAAACCAAACTCTCTCTTGGAACTTGCTTGGTTTTGTGTTCCCAATACACATTTGGGAAAGCTGTTCCCAAAATCTCACTGCTTCAAGTAGTGTCTATCTTCTAATTTCCAACCTAAATTTCTTTATGGCCAGTTTACCCCCATTTATTCTTGTGCCAATATTTTCCTTTAACTAGCATAATTTTTTTCTTTCTTTGATCCACACTTCCGCCCAGCAGCTCACTGCAGTCAAGTGCATTTTCAGGAAAATTGGTTTGGTCCAAGCTTTGTAACAGGTGAAGTTGTGAAAGGCTTGAAGGTACTAAGTAACTAAGCAGGTACAAAGAGGTGATAATCTTAACTCGCAAATAAGAGATACACAGGAGTGGAACCTAATGAGATACAAAGGAGTGGTAATCTGAACTGGGGCTGTGCAAAATTTTACCAGCTGTTTTGTTTCTACGCTGTTTTGACTCATTTTGAGCTCAAAACAGTGAAATCGAAACAAAATGAAGGGCTTCAAAACAGCCTCGAAACGAAACAAGGGCACTCAAAACATTTCAAAAGTTTCAAAACATTTTGAGTTTTGAAGCTGGGCTTGCCTGCAGGGAAACAGAAAGTAAGGAGAAGAAGGGGGAAGAAGAGGGAAGGACACATGGAGGGTGCACCTTAACACACACACACTGGAGAAGAAGCTCCTACAGGAGAGGAAAGAAAGGCTCTGTGACAGTTTGGCTGGCTGAGATGCTGCTGGTGCTACTGCTCACTAAGTTATTATTTTACCTGTTGTCATCACCTGCTATCATCCCTGCTGTTTTCATTCAAATCTGCCAAAAAATGACAAAGCTATAGGCAGTTTTCTGCTTCCCCATTATAGTCTATGGGCAAAATGTCAAAACACTATTGAAACAGCGAAACAGTTTTGACAAAACGAAACAGGACAATGCTTTCAAAACAAAACTCAAAATGAGACACTATCCTGTCGAAATAGTGAAACAAAGTTGAAACAAAACGGTGCTGTTTCGCACAGTGTGCGGGAGCGAAGGAACCCGGAGACCCCGGGGAGAGTCACGGCAGGACGCCCGCCGGATCGGACTCGCCCCTGCCCTGAAAGACGGGGCAAACACTTACCTGTTGCAGGTGGGTGAGGAGAGGGGCCGAGTTAAAAGGGCCGGCGGCCCACGGAACCCAGGCGGCGGAACCGGAAGTGGTGGTCCAGACTGCGGACACTGGTGAGAATGCAGAGAGGCGGAGGCGAGCCACCCAACGTTGAACCCGCACGTTCTGGGGTGTGGGTAAGACCCCAGCAGGGAATGGGGCTGACAAGTGGTGCCTCCGAGCATGGAGGAACTGAGCGGGCCAGTCGGAAGCGTCTGGCTCTGGCGGACCCAGGCCCAGGGAAGCCCTCAGGATCCGATGGAAGGACTGGGGGCAGCGCGGCCGGGGTGAGGAGGGATCGGGTATCCCGGATGAAGAGCTGAAGAAACCCCACGAGGGTGAGGAATTCCCCAGAGGGAGGGGTGGAACTCCGCTCTAGACCAGGGCGGAAGGGACCAGCAGCAGACACTCCCGTCAGGAGCTGTGTCGGCTTATTCCCTCGCGGACAATTGTGAGAGTGTGAACCCCACGGGAGGATTGGACTGTGGCGCTAGTCGGGGCCAGCGAGGGCCCTGAGCATGGAGGCAAGGGCGAGGGTGTAGGGGTGGAGGAGCCCTTGGCAACGCCAAGTACGGCAGACACAAGGTGCCACTTTCAGATGTGCACGCGCCAGATGGTCCAACTGAACCAGAGCATCATCAAAGACGTGGCAGGCAAGTTTGGTGTGTGTAGCCCATGAAGTGAGCGTGTGGTCTAGCCAGGGGACTCCGCTAACTGGACCAACCAGAGGGACGAGGGTACTCGTTCACACACAGCCCTAATCTTAACTAGCCAACAGGCAGGAATTTTCATTAGTGTGTACATGTTTTAGGTCCCTGGCTCACATTACGTTTAAAACATGATTAGGCAGTTAATTACATCCTAAATTGTTACCTGGCCACATGTTAATACAATTAATAGTGCAATAAAACAAGGAATAAGCCACAAAATTATTACACAAAAAATGTGTAATAACTTTGTAGCTGGTTCCTATCACACCACTAAATGAATATGTGGTCAGGCTTGGTGTACCCCTACTGCTGAAAGCCCTGTCAGCTGACAGCGCCCAGCCTCAAGATCCCAGGCCGGAGCAGCTGATGGGGCTCCCAGCCATGGGAGCTTACTACTTGGCTGGCGCATCAGGAAGAATGACTGTGGAGACTGCACATCAGATCCTGTGGTGCCTTTACTTGCATATCTGCCAGAGGCCTTACTTTCAAAACTTGAAGTGCTTCACTTTGACACAACAAGAACCTTTTATATCTAAGGAACAAACAAGTGGAAAAAGTGAATCACATGATGCACAATTCTGCAGTTTGCTTCTCAAGATCTGTAAGAGTTTTTTCTTGTGACAAGACTATTTTTTTTCTGCTGGAGAGTATATAAGGACCTCCCAGGCAAGTTTTTAAGGCCACATATAATACAACAAAATTCTCCTCATTGCTCAAAAGCTGAATGTCAGCCCATTATGCCATCCAGTTGAATTTCCAAATAAAAATGTTAGCATTCAGAGAATTTTTTGGTCCATCTACACTTTATGTATAAATGAAATTTTTAAAATAAAGATTTTCACGTTTTTATATATTATTCATCAAGTAGGCTCCTTTTCTGTTTCCATTATCTATGCCACTCTGTATATTGCTTACCAGTGAGAAATAAACATAATGCTATATGTTTGAACAGTCTCGTGAATTAAATGGGATTAGGTCTGGTCAATACTTGGATGGAACATATCTAAGGGAAAACAGGTCCTGTGGGGAGAGATGTTGGCAATTCAGTAGGCATCATACCTCCCTCTGAATTAATATCAAACCATGCTGATATGTGGAATTAAAGGGTACTGTGATGCCAGAAGTACCATCTTTTGAGTGATACGCAAATCAGGAGGCACTGCCTTGTAATTACAAGCTTCTGTGGCACTTTCCCAAAAAGAGTAGGAGTATTCATGGCCAAAACCCAACTCTAATTATACAGTGTCCACCTACTCCTAGTTTTAATTATAGAATTTATTTTTCAGCTTTTCTTTATATAATGTATTGCCTAGAACTATTGGCACAGAATGGCTTCTGCCCTTTACTCCACAATTGGCTTCATTTTTGTAGATGTTCTACATACACCAAATTATTTCAGATATTTACACACCTTTTCTTAAAGAATAATGTTAGCCAGTAATTATTTATTAAGTCTCAGCGAACTCTTATCTCAGTTCACAAATACCCTGGACAAGTTTTCACCAATGCTAAAATCCTTCCAAGTTAGAAATATGTATCTAGCCTATTTGTGATTTTGAGTTTTTCATGGAAATAGTGAAAAAAGTGGTTTCTACGAACCCTGCAAAAATGGCAATCCCCATGATTTTGGCACAGAATCACCAGGAAAAAAAAACTTACTAAAAAGATTGCCTCCCCAATGGAAGCTAGAGGTCCTCGAGGCCACTGGGGCCTGGCCTCGTAGCCTCATGAGCAGTGAGGGGTGGGACCACACCGTGGCCAGCCCTCTTAGCCAATCAGCAGCAAGGAGCAGCCTTGCTGCTCATGTATAGGTGCCCACAGTGCCTTTTCTTCATGACCACATCTAAATATTTGACATGCCCTTGAATGCCTGACCATTAACATCAGTTAGAAATAAGCCTGAATATGTTTCTGAGAATAGCCTCTCCATATTTCTGTTTTAATAAGGAAAATTGTACATGTCTACCATGATCCAGCAGAGGTCACTGCTATACACATACACAAATCAGCTCTACAGTCAAGTACACGGTCACCATAACATTATAGAGCACTGTTCAATTCCCAGAAAAGACCTTTTTTTTTTCCTTACTCAATTCTCAATAGCCCTGCCTTCATTGAGAGTTAAATCCAAGTTACATGACTAAAGTGACTAAATTATTATTTTACTTTTATTTATCTTTGCTAACCCTGCAGAGTCAACAGTATGAACTGGAATCCAGTATCCTTCAATTGTCAGCAGAATTGTTCATCAGGTTTCAGTGAATACCAGTTAGTTACACCTATGGAAAAACAGCAACATAACTGCCTGGGTATCCTGAAACACTATTTGGCTTAAAGAGTTTTCATCATTGGTCAATAAGCACAGGAAGGCAAGGACCCAGCTAAACTCCCAGATCCCAAATTTAGCTTGCTGCAAAACCAGTTCAAAATTATCATCATCATTCTTACCATTAAAATCTCTTTCCTTGTACACTGAGTACATTTGATCCACAGTTACTGGGAGAATATAAAGTGCTGAACTCCCCAAACCAATTTTACAGACACTGTTTAAAACTTGAACCCCATTTCCAGACTGGATGGCATGAGGAGTGGCACGTAGGATGAAAGAAAAAATATTTTTTAAACTTCCAAGGTCAAGAATACTTCCCCAAAAAGAAGAAATAGAACAAAGCTATGTGTATCAGAAACAGTGTAAAAGCAGCTCCCCAGTCCTGCTTTTTATTTAAAATTAGTCTGAAAATTATATTTGTACTTCTGGAAGTAAAATTAATCTCACTTTAGGTTTTTTTATAAGACACCAGATATTAAACATAATAAATATGGTAAAGAAATTAATATATATTTTAATAATCATTACAATACTTACAGACCAAACAATTATCATCCTCCTAGACACACAGTGATTGATATTCCAGCAGGTAAATGGAAGGAAAGTGATATAAAAAATTTCTTCACCCAAAGCAGCTGAAAACCTGAAGAGGTAGTAGTAGAAGTAATTCTTCACAATATACTTCTTCGTGCAATCCTGGAAGTGAAATTATTTTAGAAATTTTAGTAAGCTTAAAGTATTTATAGAGAACTGACAAATTTTGCCATTTTGCAGATTCTGCAAAATCATTCTGGGCAATGCCCGCAAAATCCGCAGAAACTGTGAAATCCATGGGGGAAAAAACTTACTATGGGCTGCAGCAGCTTGCCTGGGTGGGGAAGGAGGGGAAGGCGGGCAGGGCTGCCTACTTGAAGGGCTGCTGACAAGATGGCTGCTGTCCCTACCCCTCGCCACTGACTGGCTACAACGGCTATCTGTCATGTGGCCCCATGCCCCTCCACCCATCAGCAGTGAGAAGCAGGGCTGCGCAACAGATGGCCATTACAGCCAGTGACGTGGGGCAGAACCACATGGCAGACAGCCCTCACCACTAGTCAGTGGTGAGGGGGTGGGGCCACATGGTAAGCAGCCCCCACAGCCAGTCAGTGGTGAGGGGAGGGGCCACCAGGGCTCCATGACCAATCAGAAGGGTGGGGTGGGGCCTGCCATGCTCCACCCATATAATGGCTGCCCAGGCCCGCATTCTGCCCACGAAGCTTGGGGGGCAGCTCCCCAAAATTAGGTAGGTCCCTCAGTATTTAAGGCATCAGAAGTACATTTTAAACAGCTGTCACTAGAGCTCAGAGTTCCATAAGCGAGTCTTTTTATCTGAATAGGAATTTATTGCAGCAAGTTTTAAGAAACAAAACTCAATTTTTATAATAAAGATTGCAATTAACTGATGGACAAATTGAGGATATTTCCCTTTCTTTCCCAGAATGTTTTGACCAGTTTCTAATATACAGGAAGATACCATGTGGAGATAAGCACAAAGGCTTGGTCCAGACAATCAAAGGACCTGAGGCTGAATCGATTCAATCTTTGCAGGTCAGTCTAAGCTGCGTAGATTAAACTGAAAAGCAAATGAACAGATGCACACTTTTGATTCTGGAAATGCAGCTGTGTGCCTGCAGTTGCTCAGGCCAAAAGCTGGGGGGAGGTGGGTAGCAGAGTCCCCCAGGGCTCGGTCCTGGGGTCTGCGCTGTTCAATTTCTTCATCAGCGATTTGGACGACGGGGTGAAATGCAACCTGTTTAA